TCATCAAACAGTATGTTTTCTGGTAGTGGGAATTTTATATCTTTGAATAACTTAGTTGTGAAGTACCGACATGAAATAATATCTGAACATTACCTACTAACCTCTCCTAGTTTACTTCATTCCGATAATTCGTTTCTCAGCATAACCTATACGCAACATGCAGATATTACTTCGATGCGTGATGCTATTGAAAGATGCAGCATTTCCAGCTGAAGTTCGTAATAATTGTGGTTCTGAGATCCTGAATTTGTAGTAAATTGTCATTTAATGGTCACCATTGTACTATGCCCATAGGTTGTTTTATTTGTAACTAGGTAAAATGGATTGATGACAATATTGAAGATTGTAGAAGTCACTTTTCGGTGTCGCGGGCAGGCCAGTCACCTCACTCGTGTCCTTGTTTCCAATCGGATGCGGGTTCCCGCATGCTCCTCCTAAGTTCGGCGTGAATGAATTCAAACGCACGAACGGACGCGTGTGTGAGAGCTGACGCGCCGTCACTGCAGGTTCATGTAGTGCGACCCGTGGTGGAGCGCCTCGAATTGTCGCCTTCTACCGCTGGGGCCGGGGTTCGAATACATGTAAATGTGTGGACGAAGTGGGTTCGGGCCTTCTTCAGGGCCTCCTCTCATTGTCCCCTTTCTCTATTATCATTGATGTCATGCATTCACAATTGCGTACCCATCAACATCAGTCACCCGTTTCCAGGTTCGGCTTGGACACTGGCTTCCTGTAATGACGGTGCGGTGGTGTGACGTTGTGTTTTTTTTTGCGTGTCGCAGGTGGTTCCACGGGCACCTCTCGGGCAAGGAGGCTGAGACGCTCCTGGAGAAGGGCAAGAACGGGTCGTTCCTGGTGCGCGAGTCGCAGACCAGTCCGGGCGACTACGTGCTGTCGGTGCGCACCGACGACCGCGTCACGCACGTCATGATCCGCTGCAAGGTGAGTCCAGGGCCGCCGCCCTCCTTGGGGTAAGGCCCATTCACAATGCAAACGTCAACGTAAGCAGGGCGCCTAGACATAAACATTAACATAAGCGATGGACTGAAGTATTCACAATGCCTAACACAAACGTAAGCAAAATAAGTTTCTATTGGCTGTGAGACTTTCTGGTTAGATGTGAGAATCGATTTCGAGATATCGACTGTGTCTATGGCCCATATGACATTCTATCAACTTCACTCCAATTTCGATTCTCGATTTTGAGTTACCGTTCTGTGATTGGTTCATGTCTTACGTAAGCATAAGCACAGAAGCTTGAAGCTTGCAAGCTTTTAAGTTAACGTCGTACATGTTATGCTTATGCGAACGCATTATGAATGACTCCGCTTATTGACGTAGACCTAACTTTTATGTTAACGCCATGCTCATGTTTTTGTTTGAATTGTGAATGGGCCTCCACGTGGGAAAACGTCCACGTTTCTTAAGAAGCTGAATACCTGTTTGGGCCTTTTTTACTAACTGTTTGTATGCAGCCTGCAGGAATCTGTTAGTTGCGAACAAGTACTTGACTCAGTGCATCTCAACTTCTAGGGTGTATCTCTTTTTACACATGCGGCGGGAAATCTCATGGAATGACGAAGTTCCATGCAATTTTTCTGCCAGCGCGCCCCTGATTGGTAGGCAACTCCTCATACACTGGTGTTTGGCACGTACACGAACTCTCAGGGGACGGCCTGTCCTTTGGCAATGCCAATATTGTATTTTTTGCCTTTATTGTTTAATTTTCATTAAAAAATTCTCGACGTGGCAGCCATGAAATTTAATGTTTGAGAATGCACGGGCTGTCGCAGTCACATTCTCTCCCCCCCTCCGAGATACGTTCTTGATCCATTTGTGCTAGATTGAATGGGAGTGAGGAGGAAGTTAGTCATTTCGATCTAATTCAGATCTGTAGCTCATTTGTTGATGAAAATAGTTAATGTATATTACTCGTGAGTGAAAATGCGTTGTTATCATTGTTGCCAAAGAACCCACTCATGATTTTTTTCTTTTATCCATAGTTTAACTCCGTGTAGTAAAACGGCAGCATTGGGCACCTCATGTCAATTGTATCGTGTTTGAACTACAATAATTTAAATGTGTTTCGTTATCTATTATGAGTTTGGCTTTATTTGTATAATTGCGCTAGAAAGTTATAATCTAATCACAATTTTCGTGCCTTAATTGCAAAGCAGATATGGGAAATAGATCCACGCATGTAATGCAAACCCGATGTGCTACCCAGACGCATCAATAATAAAGCAGCAAACTCATTGGTATTTCATAAAGAGACATTTGTTAAACTGGACAAACGTTTTAGTGACAAATAGTTATTCAAGAGTTTTTTATCATAAAAAAATTAGAAAACGACTCAAAATCATAGAAAATGGCTTCATTGGCGATCTGAACTCTATGGGTACCGTTAAATCGCGAGGGACTAGGAGGGGACCGTCACTACCCTGAAGAAGCCTGCGACATGACAGGCGAAACGTCGACCTATCTGCCAACGACGCGGCGTCACCCGGACAGCCTAGAAGTAATGGACTCGAGCCGCGGAAGCCTACGTGTAAATCGCGAGGGAGTTCTTGGCAGCTTTCAAATGTATTCAGGGTCTCGCGGACGACTGCGTTCGTTGACAAATCCTTGGCCGCCCGCATTTTTTATGAACCATTCCCACTAATTATGAACCACGGACTTTTGAACTCACGAGCCGCCAGTGGGGAGTAGGATTACAGAGCTCAAGAGAATGGGAGCATATCGGTTGATCATGTGCAGCCGTCCATAAGCTAAATTGAAAAGGAAATAATGAAATGACACTTTCCGTAATGCAAATAAATATTTTTCATTACTCTACATTAGTCTCAACCCCTCTTCCACTTAAAAAAAGAATCCAAATTTGGTCGTAAGCTTAATGCATGTAACTCGAGAGTAACCAAGATATTTTTTTAACTACTTGTGTAAGTTAGCTTTTATGATTCTTATAATACTTTTAGGTAGTTTTGAAATATAACTACATTGTTTATTTGGAATGCCCAAAATTATATATTTGTGTAATGATTTTAGCCGTCATTTATACAAAAACGGTTTTAATTAATTTGATCATACATCTGATACTAATTAATAACTTTTTATAACCACAAAATTCCTGAATAATGGTTATTGATTTATCATGTTGTGCACTTAATGTCATAAATTATGAACTAATTATGGCGAATATAAAACTGCTATTAATTCCTAAAATGCATTGCAATAATTCTTAGTTTTTGTCATTGTGCATTTTGGACAAGCTCTGGATTTTGGAAATTTACCCTTATATACTTTATTGAATTTTAAACACAAATACCCCACAAATTTTATACAGATATGTATTTTTCTCAAAATTTGTTCTTAATTATTTGGCTTTTTTATTAATTGAAATATTCTGTATTTGATGGTTTCTTTTTTTTTT